GGACATCTCCAAACTTATTCTTATATCACAAACTAATCCTTTAAATCCCCGTTAATCATTAACCCTCGGTGTGTGAACAGTGCTTATGAACAGTACCCAATGAACAGTAACTTTAACTCCCAAATTAGCAAAACATAGCTAATCTCACGGGATTTTTCACACAAATCATCACAGCAGCTAATTCAAGCTAAATTCTACATAATCAAGCTTAAAACACATTTAGAAGGGCTACCAAATTCATCCACTATCCCAGCAGATTCGGACAACACAGAGCATCAACTAATGGACAAAACCCAGCCATTAAATGGGTCATTTTAAGCTTGGAAAAGACGGCTACTTACCAGAATTTAGCAAGCAAAACCGAGCCTAGCAAGGGGTAGAAGCCGACGACAGAGAAGAAGAAATTCTGCAGGGGAACTCGCGGCTACCCAAAAATTGGAAGGAAACAAAAGCAATTAAACTAAACCCAGCCTAAATCAAAGTTAAAGAGAGGGATTCATGGCTAAATCTTACCAGAAAAAGCCCAAAAACATCACACCCACATAGCAGCCGACGAACAGCAGAGGGAGGAAGACGCAGATCTGGGATTTTCTGGGTTCAACAGGTGTTCTAAGACAAGAAAATAGGGAGAAATCCCCAAGCTTTGCCGGATTTCCTGCCGGAAAATGGGTGGCGGTAACGGGGGAGCTCATCGGGTGCAGAGGGTCGGGGGAGAGGAAGAGCAGGGCACGCGGGTCTGATGGGGAGGGAAAGAAAGGAAGAAAAAGAAAAAGAAAAAGCAATTCATCCTTATCCTAATTTCCTTTCTTTTTAGTCCCTCAACTTTTTAAAATTTTTACGATTAACCCCCAAAACAATATTTTTCCTCAAATAAGTCCCCAATTTAATGCTAAAATACCCCAAAATTTTGGGATATTACAAATTGATTCCCGGAACAGTGCCGTTTGATGCTAATCGAAGACTAGAAATCCCTCTAGAAACTAACCAGAGGTGTTGTCTTGGTCACCATCAACCACTTGCAGCTATATTTAATGCAATGATGGCTGCACAAGTTCCATGGCCTTGGAAACTGCTATAAAAGATTGTTATCTGCTTGTAGAATCTCCCAAAATCTTGCGTAGGGTCTAGGGAACTCACCAAATTCTGTGTAGATGTTGTTTTTGTCGGCTACACTCAAGCACCTCCCTAAAGATGGGATTTTGTATGGTTAGGAACATTGCCAAAAATATACAATTTCTAGTTTCTTCGCCAGAACCAGCAAAACTTTGTTGGGACCATTAGGCAATTCATGATGCCACTGTCACAGAGTTGCCAGCAATGCCTGGAACCACCAAAAATTCGACAGCTCACCCTAACCTTTTTGCATACCTCTAAGCCACCAACCAGAAATTACCACAATTCCACTGCATATATATAAATTATCTATCCTTCATTTTCAAGATATAAAGAGAGAAGTGCATGCAGCATAACAACAGACTTGCACACCAAAACTCTCATTTTCTCCAAAGAAAAATAGATTCCATCTTCAACCCACTGTTCTTCACGTAGAAATCACTCGTAAACCACCATTTGGGTTTCCAGTGTCTCCAGTTCTGCAGAGTATTTTCTAGCTCTGCAGAATATTTTCTAGCTTTGCAAAGTATTTTCCAGTACCGTAGAACATTATCCAGCTTTGTAGAACATTTTTCCACACTGCAGAATATTTTCCAACATTGCAGAATATCACTCAACACTGTAGAATATTTCCAAATTTGCAGGATATTATGGCTGGGGAACAACATACTGCAGTTTCAGTTTTCGGATAGTTCTTCTCGAGCATCAGACGATTAAGGTCGCAAGGTTAGCACAAAAATGGGATTAAGCATTCCATTCATAAGCTCCCAAGCAGTCACCCTTCTTTCTCCCATCACCACTCTTAAGTTTATCCCTTTTGTCTTTGGAAGAATCTCAAGAGTGAAGTTGTTGCACTTTTCATTTTCAATATGAGAATTGTTCATTATAGAGTAAAGATATATACTAGAGATGAATGAGGTCATATTTATTATCATTATTATCGTGTTACAATGATTTATGTATGAATATGACTCTCAAGTTGTAATCTTTGAGCCACATGTATTTTTTCATCTTTCCTGCTCCTTCATAACAATATACAACTTCCATCCATCATGTTTTTGGTAGTTGTGTAATCATCTTGAATCCTTGGAGTCCCGCCATTGCCGCCCAACTCCACTAGCTTGGCTGGAAGATTTATCTTTTCAAAAGCTTTGCTAAAGAGTTCACTACAAGACATCATTGCCCAACAGAGTGGGATGGCTCGTAGCACGTAGCCTTCCACACCTGAGACGATTGCCGTTGAAAGAACCCCCCATTTTCTCGGTTGTCATCCTAGTCAGCTTCCACATCACCACCGTTGCTGACTCATCCACCTACATCACCAACACCCCCGAACACATAGTTTGGATAAAAAATACTCAATTCGACCATAAATGCACAATTCTACTGCAATTTGTCGTGAACTAATGCTTTACACTATTTTAAAATGTTTTGCACAATTTTAGTCAGCTTTTCATTTATTTTGAGTTATTTGGACTAAGAATTGTTTTAAGTAAAGCCTAATTTGTTTTTATTAAAAATAGCACATATTCAAACCTTTTTAAGAAGTAGTGCATATCCAATCCTACTTTTAATTGGATTTGTTCATAACATATAGTTTCCTATTCTAATTTGGACTAGTTTAACTATTTAAAGGCTTGTAACCCTAATTAGTGATAGTTATTGATTTTGAGGTTATTTGAGAGTCTTTTATCTTGGTTAGTTTGCAAACTTACATAATTTATCAAGATTTTCTTGTCACATTCTAATCTAATTTATCACTCTTGTTCTTATTCATTTTTTGGAATATGGTGTCAAATTTTCTTTATGCCTTTGTTTTATGTTTTGATGTAAACGAGTCAAGATTTGTCTTCAATAAATCTAATTTGATTTTCCTTGGGGTTTGAATTTCCTTGTTCTATATGTGGGTCACAATGTGCTCTTTGGGGTTCACATCATCCATCAAATTGAAGCTTCTGAAATGTTGAATCCATCCATTGATTCTTGGAACTGCACACCATGTGGAACAACTTTAGATAAAGAAATGGAGGTGCTCTTGTAGCATTCATGAGGTATCTTCAATTTTGATAGAAAGCACAGGTTCATTAATTCAAATCTTTAAATGATGCTTCATTATTTAAATATAATGAAGGATAAGCAAAATGATCCCGATTAGCTTTAGAATCTAAGTTATGATCTCTATTGTTAAAATTTTCTTGCGCTTCATTTTTTCTTTTCTTTCCATTTTAATGTTCTAATATTGGTAGAAAAAGTAGTATCAAAATAAAATAACTAAGGAAAAGAAAAGAGTTTTGAGCAATGATATTACATTCCTTAGAACATTAAAATGCCCTTAAAATGCAATAGAACTAAAGCTAAACTCTCTCCAAAGAAACTGTGAAAAGAATAAATATTTTCTTTTTGGTTTAATTTAGGCTTACATCTATTTATAGTGACTAAAAAGATGCATAATCAAGAGTTATATCATTTAACTAAAGGCTATGACTTTTAACAAACATGATCTTTCACAATGAATAGTTATGTCTATTCATTCAAACTAAATGGATATGTCCATTCGATTAATGGCTATGTCTCACGAAAAACTTTGAAGTCAAAATTGAATTCACTTTTATACTTAATACATAATTTGCCAATGAATATTATCAAACCTAGAACACCAACATTTAATACTACCTTGGATATTTGTTTATAATAATTTTAGTACCATTTCAAACTAAATATCCAATAGTACTAGTTCCTTGGATTTTTTTTTTCTATCCTCTCATCCATCTGTCTCTATCACATCCCACATTCCTTGTTATTTATCTCATCCTTGATCTTTGTAACCATAGAATCTTAACTAAGTTGTAATAACCTACTACAATTTCAAGACTAAATATTTCTTGTTCATATTTTAAGTTTAGAAAATTACATGTGTTAACTACACTAGTATCTTTTTTTTTTTTTTTTTTCATTTTCCTCTAACTTAGTTTTTCTATCTTCTCATCCCACATTTTCTATTCTTTCTGTCATCCTTGATCTATATAACCATAGAATCTCAACTAAGTTATGACATTTTTTTGTCACAAGGATTAAACCTAAAATTGGGTTTCTCATTGTTTAATCTATAGGTTACACATAGTTGTACGTGTGGCTTGAAATTGGTGAAAGAAAAAGAAAAAAACACAAGGTATGCAATTAAGGAAATCGAATTTGTTTCCTTTTTTGAAGTCTTTAGGTAATAAATCCCACTTTAAATGCAACAAATTTTGAATTTGGGTAGTTTGAGGAGGATTGTTACATGGGGTACTTTTAAATTCAACAAGTTTCTTCAAAATGGTGAAGAAAGGAAAGCGAAAGGGTATGATGTAATTTTCTACAATTTCTACAAATATCAATATTTAGCTTAACTGAAAAACCTAAATTTTTAGGTTGGAAAATAATGCTTAAATTTGGGTTTTTGAATTTTTGAATCTAGGTACATTAAAGGGATTATGAATCCAAAAGAGATAGGAAGAAAGGAGAAAGGGTATTTAGGCATAGACGGTGGCTAAGTGGTGGTTGATGGTGGTGATGACAAGAAGACCAACTACCTAGAAGAGATAAGAAAAGATGAAGGAGATGAGGGTAGATCCCTAATTACATTTGGATTGAAGAAATAAAGCGGGGTTATGTGGGCAAATATGCAATTCTAGTGGTTTAATGTTAAATAAAAATGCCATCATGTCAAGCCCCTTTTTTTTGTTTGGTTTTTTTAATAGTGTTAAAATAGGTTCCATTATAACCACAACATGTCATTTTATACAATTAAAAAATAAAATTTTTGTGACATCAATATTTTGAAATTCTAAATAATACTTAAAAATAAAAGATAATGAATACTTAATTGAATATTGTTCTATGTTTAGTACTTAATTAACGAAATGACCAAAAAAGAGTCAAAATATGAAGTTGAGGGATACAAAAGGGATTTTTTTAGTTCAAGGACCAAATTAGGGGTTTGTACCAAAGTTTAGGGCCCAAAACACAAGTTTAAAAATACTAAAAAGAAAAGGAAATTCATAAAAAAAATAAGTTGTCAATTTAGTCCTTATTATGGTTTATGTGCAAAAACAATTTGGTTTTAAAACTTATGTTAATATCAATTTATTAATTAATCAAATCCTAATGTTAAAATTATTATTGAGTTAGCCCACACTTAACTTTAGCAATAGCTAGGGTTTAGTTATGGGAGTTGGTTTCTTTACCTAGTGGTTTCGGTAGGTATTGATTGGAATTAAGGTTACCAGTGGGGAAGATTTTTGTTGTTGTTAGTGTAATTGGTACTCTTATGGTCAAATTAGAGTTAATTAATGAGGTGAAAGAGGTAGTTAGGATGAAAAAGCTGGTGAAGGATCCTATAATGAGGAACGAGCAATGGTGTTTGGTAAGAAAAATCTTGAGGAGGCATATTGCTAACTTTGCAAACCATTGTGATACTTTCTATAATGTATCGAAGGAATTAGTTAAGGTTTGCAAGAGTGCAATTTGAAGCAAAATATCTTCTTCGTCTCAAGGGATGAAACAAAAAAGAATATGTATGGCTTAAAATGATATGATCTTTCAATAAGAATTTATTGGTATTAAACAAATATGATGAAGAAATAAGGTAGATGAAACTGATTTTTTGACACATCATAGTACATTTTATTAGCCTATAGATGTGGTAAGTATGAAAGAGAGTGTGGTTCTTGAGTTAGAAAGTTTTAAGGATGATTGAGGTGGTTGATTAGGAACTGGCATAGATTAGTATTAAAAGTTGGTTAAATCCCCATTTTGGTCCCTCTACTTTGGTAACAAGCCCCTTTTAGTGTCTCTACTTAAAAAAAGTCCTTTTTTGGTCCCCAAAGTTTGAAATTTGGCCCTTGTTTAGTCCTCTGTTAAGTTTTGCACACGTGGCACATTATATGACGAAAATTTCAAAGTAGAAGGACAAAAAATGGCCTAAAAAAGGTCTTTAGCCCTTTTTCAACCCCTCTACTTTGAAATTTTCATCATCTAACATCAAAACTTAATGAAGGGACTACTAAAAAAGAGCCAGATTTCAAACTTTAAGGACCAAAAGGGGGTTTCTTTAAGTAGAGAACTAAAAAGGGGCTTTTTGCCAAAATAGAAGGACCAAATTGGGGTTTTAACCTTAAAACATAAAGTCAAGGTTTGATATTTTCATGCCATAAAGGTAGGTTTGTACAATGCAATTAGATTTAGGTGAGGTTATGCAGATTTGATAAAAGTATAAGAGTTCCAAGATTTTTATTTTGTGTGTGGCAGCCTCAAAAACACAAGGTCTCATTGAGGGTGATCGTTACAATGGAGTTTAGGGTGGTGTAGTACAAATATAGTAATGGTTTAACAGAAAAAGGTTATTAGGGAAGGTCATTTATAGTTAGGGGTGGGTGTGTTGTAGCTTTTAATGTTGTAACTGGAATAACTTGAGCCAAAGCTTACCGTTGGCCTAATAAATTTTTCAACGAAGGTCCATGAACCCTAAAAACCTCAAGCTTAAGTTGATAGTAATGATCAATCACCACGCTTATATACCACTTATAATCGTACTCTTTTTCCAATGTGGGATTTTTAGGGCATTACAATCTCCTTCACTTAAACTATTAATGTCTTCGTCAATTTCACTTACATCTATCCAAGTAGACCTAAAAGCATAGGGTCCACCTTAAATGATGTTAGATTTTAGTGGTCGAAGCCCAGTAATACCACCATTGTCCAATTCAAGCCCTTATTAGACCAAAATGGACTTTTCCAACAACTTGTATTGAGGCTTTTTTAGCTAGGTTTCTCACATACAAATGGAACCTTTATTGTACCAAATATAGCAACACAAGCAAAAGCCCACCATTAGACTAACAACTTTTCAAGACAAGCTCTACAGTCTTTTCAAAGTTCAAGTCATTAGTAATAGTTAGTCTTCACAATTATATACCACTCACAATCGTGCTTTTCTTCCAATATGATATTTCTAGGCATTACAATAGCTAAAACAATAAGGGTTGAGGCCTACCACTAACCTAACAACTCTTTAGCTTAAGGTTCATGAATTCTCAAAAACTGAACCTCAAATTGCTAGTAGTAGTTGGTCTCGACATTTGCATACCATTCACAAGCGTACTCTTCTTTTGATGTAGGATTTTTATGGTGTTACAATCTCCCTTACTTAAATGTTTAACATTCTCGATAAGCACACTTAGATCCAATCCAACATCTGTACAATTCTAGTATCCATCCTAAGTGATGTGAGATTTTGAGGCCAAAGCCCAAGCAAACCCTCACTATCCATTCTAAGCCCTTGTTGGATTAAGGAAAACTCCTCTAACAATCAATATTAAGGTCTCATGGCATAGCCTTATAGCTACGAGGAAGAACTACTTAGATACTATTTGAAACACACAAGTCAATGCTCACCACTAACCTAACAACACTTTAGGCTACAAATCACGATTGCTCTAAAGACAAGCTCAACTTGTTAGCAATGGTTAGTCTACACACTTATATATCCCTCACAATTGTACTCTTCTTTCTACATGGGATTTTGGGGGCATTATAGTAGCCAAGTTATCGAGTTGTTTTTAGAGACAACGATTTGCTTAAGTTACTAAATGGTGGGAAAGAAACAATAGAATGGTTACCTTTTATGCCATACAGTCTGGTAATGGTATTATAACCCATTATCATATTACCTTTTAGAACTTCTAATTTGTCATTTGATATTGATATTTTTTTTACCACTTTACTTTTTTTGTTTATTTTAACAATGAAAATTTTTAAATGCCAAAAATATCCTACTATAAATCTAGTGATTTTATCTAGAAATTTTAGATTATTGGGTGTTCAAATTAGCCATTACCATTCCTTTACTTTCTAACGTTTTGTCCTTCTCTCATTTGATTAGATCTGCAAATTTAATATTCTATTACTCATTAACTTTTAGATTACTTATCTTTTTTCCTTGAAATTCTTGTTTCCAATATTAAAGTTCCCTTGAGTCAAATCTATTTGTACTTGTGATTATGATATTTTCATTTATATGAGGCATTTATTTACCATATATTAATTGTTATTCTTTATGTACATTAATATCGATAAAGTTCTTAGAATGTATGCTATATTAAAAAGTAATAGCAATCATCACTATTACTAAGAACAATATAATGCAATAGCAATATTCTTAAATTGTCCATTAATGGTATATATTATTGAGATGAGACATCAATGATGTAAAGATTATCATGTGTGATACTTTTTTAAGTGGTAAGAGTTCTTCTCACAAAGCCATGTATTACATATGGGTGACTCAAAGCAAGTGAGTGCACTAAACTAATCTGCCATGAAAACTCTCATGTAGGTGTCATTACTAGCTTCTCAGCTATGGCATGAATGCAAGCAATCTTTTGACTTAATATCATTATTATCTATGCGAGAACTTGTGCTTTGATGCTATTAAAAACAACCACTACAAGGAGTTGCAAGTAATAAGCAAGTCAAAGTAGGACTCTTCCATCTCGAGTTTATGGGAGAAAATATCCTTAGCCTTTTGATTAAAATGTGACTACTTGCAAGTCCATGGCCATGGAAACAATGAAGGTTTATTCAAAAAGTACATCTATCTTGAGAATTAAAGAAAAAATGTATCAAACTTTAAGGATGACGACCCATAGGATACATCTTGCTTGATTAAGATATTAGTGATGAAGGGATTGAATTACAAAAGGTGTGTTGGTCATAGGAAAGTTCATAGAAGCTACTGACTTTTCTATCACTTTAGATGGTCATGATGTGTTGCTAAATATCACTCTTGGTCTGTGGGTGTTTCTCACTAAATTCATGATGGAAACTTGGAAGGTTACAAATTTAGTGGGTTTTAAGGATTAGGATTTTTATAAGTCCTAGTTTATGGGTATGATTAATTTATGTGAAAATATTTTCACAAGAAAAATAAATTCATCAAACTTCATACTAAATTGGTAAAGAGAATTAATTTAATTAAATTAATTCAAATTCAAATTTGTTCAAAGTTAAGGATAAGAAAAATTCAAATTGGCAATTAAGTCCTTGAAGGACTATATGGCCAAACTCTAGCCCATTGGTTTAAAGCATATGCAACACTAAGGCATGAAAGCCTAATGCCAACACTCCTAGTCCAACATAGACTAGGGTGTGAGGAAAAACAAGGAAAGGAAAGTCTTCTCTTTTTAGATTTTCTACTTGGAATTGAAGATTAAGTTTGAAAATTCTAATTGGATTAGAATAGCAAATCTTTTATTCTCTATTAATATAAATAGGTGTAGAAAACTCAAGAACCCTAATTTTGCATCATAGAGATTTAGGCCACTAAATTGTTCTTTACCAAGGGGAAGAAGAATTAACTATATATTCAATTGCTAAATATTCAATTGCTAGCACCATTGAAATCTAGTCTTCTCTTAATCTCCAAGCATACATGTGGATCACCACTAGAGGAAATCTATACTTGAGTACTTGAAAGGCGTCATCAATGGAATGCAGTCAGAATAACACACTAACAAGGCACACATCATTGAGGTAATGACCATTAACCTTCTTTAACCATTAATAGGTTCATAAGAATCCTAGGTAGGTTGAAAAAGGTTTTAAAAATTTAGTTACTTTGTTGCACCTCATTACACCCAACATAGTTCATGACAAATCCAATGATGATCCAAGTTTCTGTTTTAGGTTTCAAATAATGTTGCAAAGTTTATTATTTGGGTTTCATCCATCATATGGTTTCTAATTATGAGCTTTCTTTTTTTCTTTCTTTACCAAACAACCTCTCTCTGCCTTATTCAAAATTTAGGCTTCCAACTATTCAAATTTTAGGCTTGTAGTGAACCTAAAAATCTTCCTTGTCTTTTAGTGTGTTGTTGCCTTGTTATAGCTCTATTTAGGATTATCTCTTTTGGTTCAATTATTGTAGATACTTTCAATCTCGATAGAATCAATTGGGATTTAATAGGTTTAAGGCATTTCCAAACCATTTCGATCTATTGTTGTCTACTGAAATGCTTTATTTAGCTTGGCACCAATTCCTAAACCTCTCTACCAATCCCAATCAGGTCCCAAAGTTTTGGCTAATTGTTCACCCTTATCAACAATGATGATTGGTTCTTTTTATATGTTGCAAAGTGGTATATATCAGAATGAGGTGGGATCAATTGGATACATGTTCAAGGGATGTTTAAATTGATATTATTTTATTTTAAAAGATATCAAATTAAAGTTAATTTTTTTATTATTTTTCTAAAATATTGACATTAATCATTGTGAAGAAACATATCACTACTAGGAGAAGAATGGAAAAGTGCATTTACAACATAGAGGTAATTTCTTGATGAGATATCAATGGTTAAGAGAAGCCATCATTTGTGGAGGTTGTTACTTGATTTTGTTAATTTATAGAATTTTCAATAGCTTCCTTTGGGGTATAGGGACATTAAATTTACAATGATGTAGAAGAGAGGAAGCAAAAATAGGTTAAAAGGTGCCCAAGTCATTCACATGACTAATTGGATCAATATGGCACGAACAAGCATTTAATTTCGTTAAAAGTCTATTAGAGTAATCATTTTGTAATGTATCCTTGCAAATTTTACTAAATTTGATAAGTAAGGGAAGATGGGAGACAACTCATCCTTTTATAAAGGAATACACACATATGTTTATGCATTGAAACAAGTTGTCCCTAAATTGTGTTAATTTCTATCTAATATAGTTTTTGAGAGTTTTTTCTCTTATATTTTAGAAATCTAACGAATGAACACTTCTTTCACTTTCATTGACCATTATGTATCTTTTTCTGAACATAACTTTTTAATTTCAAAGAAAACTATAAATTGTGTTAATTTCTATCTTTTTCATTTTATACATCATTATATATCAATCATCAGATATTTTTTCTATTTATAATAAATTGTGTTTGGATTATGAGTTATTGGATATAAAACTATAAATTAAAGCTAATTCCATATAAGTGGAGTTAATTGGACTTCAACTTTCTTAATAAGTTTTATTTAAGAGATTTATTGAGTATTTATTTAAGATTTTATAGAGATTTATTGAATATTTTAGAAGGTGCAACTAGTATTTATTTAGGATTTCAAGGAGATTTATTGAGGATTTTATTGAGAATTTTAAAAGGCCCATTAGATATTTCTTTGAGATTTATTGAAAATTTTAGTGATTTTTATAATATAGTATAAATCTTATTAAACATATAATTGAATTTTGCTTAAAATATAGTTTTTTTGGTATTTGAAGGACTAAGCTGTGTGGTAGTACAAGTTTAAATCTCTTATTTTGATCTTAAATTAAGGTTCTTAAATTAGTAATTATCAATTTGGCTAAACTCTTATTAGCAAGATTGAAATATAATTGAAGTAGTTGAAGTGAAATTGAAATAAAATTGTAATATAGAAAAAAAAATTATTATTAAAAATATGAAAATAAATATTTTTATCCGAATTAATAATTTTTTAGAAATAATAGTATAATGGATTTAAAAGCCCCATACTTATGTTTAAATAATTAAAATATTTGTTATTTTATGCTCCGTGCTTGTTTCCTCGAGTCCCATGGTTTTGAATTGGAATAATATATATTTTATGCTTTGGTATTTATTAAAAAATTTTAAAGTTTTATTTGGTATTTATTTTCTATTTATTAAAGATTTTAGAAAGCTTATTGAGTATTTATTTAATATATATTAAAAATTTATTAGAGATTTTTAAGGATTTCAAAAGATCTCTTGTATATTTATAATTAAGTTCATATTGAAATATAATTAAAGTAGTTGAAATTAGATTGAAGTATAATTGCATTAAAAAAAAGATTATTATCAAAAACATAATCAAGTTTAGGTTTTAAAAACTCATTGGACAGGTGATACGGAATGAGCAAGGACAGGATATAGCAGCTATGGCTTCTAAAGGGAATGGGTATTTTCCAGCGGTGGTTGTGGAGGCTTACAGCATTAGGAAAGCTCTTAGCTGGGTGGTAGAGTTGGGTCTCCGAGGGGTTGAAGTGGAGAGTGATGCAGCATGTGTGGTGAGTGCCGAGGTGGGTTATCAGAGTTAGAGGTGATTTTTGATGATTGTCGAATGTTACTAAGTAGCCTAGATGACTGTTCTGTGCGGCATGTTCGAAGGGAGGGGAATAGTGTGGTCCATGAGTTGGCAAAAAGAGCCTTAACAAATGAGGATGATGAGTATTGGGCGGAAGAGTTGTCTAGTAATATTATGCAATGTGTAGCTGAGGATCTGAGAAAGCTTTCGTTATCTGTATGATGTTATTCATCAAGTGAAATAAAATATGAACATATTTCAAATAAAAAAAAAAAAAACTCATTGGACATTTATGCATTATTTATTGGAGATTTATTGGAGATCTTTTAAGAATTTTAAAAGTTTATTGAGTATTTATTTGAGATTTTTTGAAAATTTTAATAGCTTATAGTATAATAAGATAGTAAAATATTTATAAAGTCCATTTTTTATAAATTTAAAAGAAAAATAATTTAAAGATAATTTTTTATATAATTTTACATATTATTTAAATGATTAATTTTTTTATTTATTTAAAACTTGTAATATTAAATACATATATTTATTTAATAACATATAAAAATTATATAAAAAGTAACAACAAAATTATATCTATATCACTACCCATTTAAAAGTCACTTTTTATCAACCGTGAGCTAAGCATTATTAATTTGGATTACTATTAAAATTGGAAATTAATCATAACAATAATAAAGAGAATGGTGTTTCTAAGATTTCTTATATAATGAAGGCTATATTGGTCATTTTGACTACTTGTTTTGTCTTTTTAATGATCGACTACATGGGCTCTTTGTTGTTGGTCTCACAGTGGCGGCAATAAAGCGCTGGGGCAGAGGCAACCGGCCAAACCGCCCTCCCTGCGTGCGACCCTGTCTTTCTTGGCTGATTGTGACATTTCCTCTGCTCCTTTTCATTTTTTAGGATGTTTAGACAAGCACAAACACTACTTATTTTCACACTCTTCCCCTCCCATAGCCTTTTTTTTTTTTTTTTTAAAGTTACATGAGAGAACAAAAATGTTGTTTTTCAAACATTCTTCTTTGCATCCGCATCATGTTATTATTGTATCTTAGTCACAAAATCAATAAAAATAATAATTAGTAAATCTATCAAAAAATACTAATAGCAAAATATTACTAAAATAGATAGGAAAAACTTTATTTACTCTAAAGTGATTTATTTCTTTGCAAAGATTAGATTTATTACTACAGCAAAAGTATAGATAGCATATCAACCCCAAGATATTACAGGTTTATAATAACACCCTATAAATTTACACCACCCGTAGGCATCACATAACTCAAAATACCTTTTTTTACCCAATAATATTTAGATAGAGTAATGTAAGAAGGTAGAAGAATGTGGATGAATTTTTTTAGTTAAGCAAAAAGACTATGTCCCATTTAGAGGACTCATAGTTATGTAACTCTCATTTATAAGTTAATTATAAGAATAAATTAAACAATTATTATAAAATAATGTGTTTTTAAGTTAGACAATTAATCTATAACGAGTAGTTTGATTAAATCCTTAATAAGACAATAAATTTAATTTATAAAATATATTATGTTATTTTTATTAAAATATTTAAGTTCTAATAAAAAATATATATAAAAAAAAAAAAACTTCTAGCTCTTCCACTCTTAACTAAATTAGAATGAATTTTTAATATAAAATTTTGGGACAAATTTGTCTTAAAATTTTGTCCTTAAAATTCATTACTCTTTTAATTTTTTTTGCCTTTTTATTTTAAATTGTATAATAAGAAATAACCTTCCTCCCATTGATTAACCTTTTTCACATGCATTCATTGCAACTTGAATTCAAAATTTTTTATTTCTAATTTAGTGCATGTTTGGTGTAGTTGGTGGGAAGTGCTTTTGAAGTCCAAAAACTCTAACTGCACCAAACACCAAAGCTTTTAGTTTTTGCTTCAATTGTTGAGCAGCTAGTCTTATCTTTTAGCCTTTGAAAATCGGAGAAGCAAGAATCTCGTGCTTTTGTGGGTGCTTTTGCTGATGTTTAATGAATTTTACTTGTTTTTCCCATGTTACTCTCATATTTTAATAAATTTACAACTAAACCACTATATATACCTCATCATTTATAACACAAATTCCGTTTTTACCTTCTTCCCATCTTCTTCATCTGTTGATCTCCTCTATTCTAAATTCTTTGCCATCACTTCCATCTCCTTCTTTCGGTCTCTTTTCTTTTTCATTCTCACCCAATTGGAACAATTTACCTTATCCAGATCTTGCTGCTGTATTGAAGCTCAATTTCTTAACATCAATTCCAAATCCTGTGGTGTGCATCAATCTTCAATCGGTAAGTATCTCCTTCTTTTGGTCTCTTTTCTTCTTCATTCCCACCCAATTGGAATGATTTACCTTATCCCAATCGTACAACTCTATTGAAGCTCAGTTTTCTGACATTTATCCTAGATCTAGTGGTGTGTGATATGTGGATTAATATGACAGACACATGGCAACTGTAAATAGCAAGGAGGCCACGACAATAGTGAACATTGGAACAGATTGCAAAGAGTGGAAAGGGTATATGTAATGGTTCTGGGAATGGAGAGGCATGTTGAGAATTGTATTTCCTTCTTATCTGGATTTGCATTTCTCTCTTTTCTTCTCTGTAATTTGATTATTGAAGCAACATATCGGAGATCATTCTTCTTCTCATTTTTGATTTCCTTTATATTACTCTGTTTCGTTATCCAAGGCATTAGTTGGTCTACGAGCAACTCTTTCCTTGGCCATGACAAAGGGCTTAATTCAATTTTTAGTCTATTAACTATCACATTGATTTCATTTTAGTCTAGAAACTATATTTTATTTTTAAGTGGTCTATTAACTTTCAGATTCATTTCAATTTCATCTACTTGGTCAAAGATAACAGAAAACTTCATGTTCTGTTAGAGAACTGTTAGTCCTCTAACTATATTTTTTTTATCTTTTAGTCCTCAAATTTATATTTATTATAAAAATAATTTTTATACTTAAAATTATTGTTTTTAGGCTCTGATATCAGATTTTTATACTTAAAATTATTATTTCTAAGTGGTCCATTAAGTTTCTGGCTCTGATACCAAATTAAAGAAATAAGAAAACCCGTATAAAAATCTGATATCAAAACCTATAAATAATAATTTTAAGTAAAAAAGCTATTTTTATAATAAATATAAATTTAAAGACTAAATGATCAAAAAATATATAGTCAGAGGACTAACTGTTCTCGAACATAATAGTAAGTTTTTCGTTATCTTTAACCAAGTAGACGAAATTGAAATAAATCTGAAAGTTAATAGATCACTTAGAAATAAAACATAATTTCTAGACTAAAATGAAATCAAGGTGATAGTTAATAGACTAAAAATTAAATTAAGCCCATGACAAAGACTTTTGAGCAGGATATGCACAACTTTATGAAGGAACTATTTGAGAGGCAAGACGAGCTCGCAGCGGGGTTGAAACAAGTTGAAGAATACCATGAAAAAGCGGTAGCTAATATTCATGCTCGGATTTCAGGTGCAACAATCCCAAATCATGACCCAACTTGACACAACTGCAACCATTGGAGCTCACAGCGGTGGAAATGGGCAAACCCCTCTTATAGCCTAGCGGTGGATTCGTTGACAACCAAAGCAGCAAAGATTGAGTTTCCTTGATTCTATGGTGATGACTTGCAAGGCTGGCTCTATTGATGTAAGTAGTATTTCAAAATTGACAGCACTCCAGAAAAGCGTAAGGCCCATTTTGCTTCAATTAATTTGGAAGGCCGGGCAATGCATTGGCATCAAACATTTCTTGAGGTTAAGGGGGAACGGTCCTTTCAAATTGGGGTGAATATGTTGTAGGACTTCAAGCCAGGTTTGGGAGTAAGGTTTATGAGGATTACTTGGTAGATCTGATTAAACAAAAGCAAATAGGGATAGTGGAGGCATACTAAGAGCAATTTGACACTTTATTCCCTAAAGCAGGTATTATTGAATCTCATGGCCTTAGTATTTTCTTGAGTGGATTGAAAAGAGATATTGAAATTAGGGTGAGGATGTTTAAGCCCAAGACTCTTTTTGATGCTTATGCACTAGCACAACTACACGAATCCTCAATACAGGAACACCAGTCATTAGCAAAAAGGTCTAAATTTTCAACTCCTCTATTACCTACCCCAGGTACATCAAAATCACCAAACCCCAAACCACCTACTATGACCTCCAATAGCACCACTAGTAAACCTAGCATCAATTCCAAACCTTATAAACACTCACCAGGCAAGAGATGGAAAAGAAAAGATAGAAGGGGTTGTGTTATTGGTGTGATGAGAAATATTCCCAGGGTCATAGGTGCAAAACTATGCAGCTCTATGCAATAGAGATGGTTGAGGGTGATGATGATGGGGAGGTACTTGAAAAGACTGCTGAAGAGTTACTTGAGGAAACGATACCCCATATTTTTGTTCTAGCATTGTCTGGTCCTACTTGAAAAGCTTACAAAACTATGAGAGTGACTGATCATATTAACAAAAGACCAATCAATATATTAATAGATACAGGCAGCACTCATAATTTTTTGGACTTGAATGTGGCCAAAAGAGTTGGATGTAAACTATATTCCATGGACCCATTAACTGTTGATGTAGCAAATGGGAATTCCTTAGTATGTTCAAGTATGTGTCCGAATTTCATTTGGTGGTTGCAAGGAAAGCCATTTCACACTGACACACTAATTTTGCCTTTAGGAAACTGTGACATTGTGTTGGGCATACAATGGTTAGAAACCTTGGGAGACATTCTCTGGAATTTAAGTCTCTCAAAATGGAGTTTACTTTTGAAGGGCACAAGTTTGTACTAAGGGGAACATCTCAAGTGAATATGGCACCTGTTGACAACAAGGGAATGAGTAAGTTGTTGAAAGGGACTTCCTCTATTGATTCTAATCAACTTTACAGTGTAAAAGTGAGGATGTGTTTGCCTAGCCATGATGAGGTAAACTCATTCGGGCCTACAGTCCAATGGAACAAGATGGAAGCAATTTGTCCAGAATTCAATAGTTTATTGCAAAAGTACCAAGACATCTTTGAAGAACCAAAGTCCTTGTCACCCCATAGGACTCATGATCATAGAATTTTGGTTAAGGAAGGAGCAGAACCTATGAATGTGAAGCCCTACTATTATGCTAGTGTGCAGAAAGATATCATTAAGCAGTTGACCAGAGTGATGTTGGCCTCTAGCATTATTCAACATAGCATGAGTCCCTTCTTTTCTCTTGTGATATTGGTTAAAAGGAAAGACGAAACATGGCAATTTTGTGTGGATTGCAGGGAGCTCAACAAGCAAACTATTAAGGACAAATATCCAATTCCCTTAATTAAAGAACTCTTAGATGAATTACAAGGATCAACCATCTATTCCAAAATAGATCTACAAGCTGGCTACCACCAAATAAGAATGCATCCTGATAATATGCCAAAAACAGCCTTTAAAACACATAAAGGTCATTATGAGTATTTAGTAATGCCATTCAGCCTTACTAATGCACTAGCTACCTTCCAGTCCTTAATGAATGAGGTATTTTAGGATGTATCTTAGGAAATTTGTGCTTGTTTTTTTTTTACGACATCTTGGTTTATAGTTAGAATTTGCAGGAACAAATGGAACATTTGAAGGCGTTCCAGCTATTAAGGGCTAACAAATTGTTTGCTAAGACTAGTAAATGCTCCTTTGGTAGTCGCAAAGTAGAGTACTTGGGCCATTATATTTCAGCAGAAGGAGTTGCCCCAAACCCCAACAAGGTTGAGGCAGTGAAGAATTGGCCTATTCCCCAATCGGTGAAAGCCTTCAAAGGATTCCTAGGCCTTACAAATTATTATCGTCAGTTTGTGAAGAATCATGGTGGTATTAGTAAGCCACTCACTAATTTATTGAAGAAGGAAGCATTTACTTGGAATGAGCAAGCCACTCATGCCTTCAAATCCTTGAAAGAAGCCATGACAACTGCACCTGTGCTTGCCTTACTTGACTTTTCTCAAGAATTTGTAGTAGAAACAGATGCTTGCGGATGGGGAATTGGTGTAGTACTAATGCAGAAAGGGCACCCTATTGCTTATATCAGTAAATCATTATCTTTAAAAAATCAAGCCTTGTCAATATATGAGAAAGAGCTATTGGCTTTGATCTATGTAGTTAACCAATGGACTCACTACCTCTTTGAAAGGCCTTTCGTTGTCAAAACTGATCATGAAAGTTTAAAGTACTTGCTAGAATAGTGAATCCATACCACATTGCAATAGACTTGGTTAGCCAAACTCATGGGCTTTGATTTCACCATCAATTACAAAAAAAGGAAGGAGAATATGGTAGCCAATGCTTTATCTTAATTACCCAAAAGTGAATTGTTGATTACTGTAGTGTCCACAATATTGCCCACTATTTATGAGGATATTCGAGTTACTTGGACTACAGATCAGAAACTCAGAGAGTTAATTGAGCAATTACAGAAAGGGTAGCTGCAAAAGTCACCATTTGTTTGGTTTGCCAACCAGCTCAGGTGGAAAGGAAGGATTGTGGTTGGGAATAACAAAAGTTTGCAACAAAAATTAATTAGCTCCGTAATCATTTAATTATAATCTTTTAACCAAAAGTCATTATAAAATTCAAGAGTGATAAAAATTAGTAAATAATCCAAACTCTCAATGAAAAATTGAAAAATTACCTGTGTAATGGCTCTAATTAAGAATCCAAACTCTTAATATATATATATTTTTAATATGACTGTGTACAATTTTTTGAAAAGGTACTTCTGCTAATTATCTGACAAAATCTCCTACTCCATCTTAATCACTTAATTAGAATTTTTTGATTATAAATCATTAATATAAAATTCAGGATTTGATAAAAAATAGTAAAGAATTCAAACTCTAATATGAAAGTTAAAGAGTAATTCATACAATACACAAGCAAAACAAACTATTATACAAATGTTATTTATTATACAAATGCTATACCATACAAATGCTACTTTATGCATTAATTGAAATCTAAATATAAATTTTTTATATCTAAAAAAAAATATGTTTTACTTTAATATTTTTTCATTTAATTTGTGTTAAATGCAATTCATCCCTTAATTATTTTTGTTAAATGCATCAATCTAACACTTTTTATCTTCTATTTCACATTATTATATTGTATTTAAAAGGCATGATGTTTTGTTTTTCATCTTACATTCATACGTTACTCTTAGTTGAAATCTTTTCACTTTCTTATTTAATTCTACTATTATTTCTTGTGAATTTACCCTTTTATTTTCTTTTACATTTTAAATTTATTTATTTTTAAAGAGAAAGTTGAAAACGCTTTTTTGAACATACATGCTCTTAATTAAATATTTCTTTTAATCGAAAAAAAAAAATTGTACTCATTTCATTTCTTTTACACTCACCCACTCTCAATTCTCATTTCATTTTTCGAATGGCATTTTCAAAATCATCAACGAGACTTGAAACAAATTGAAGCCAACCATTGTTTTAACTATTTTCGTTTGGTACAATTTTGGTTGATAGTTTACTTCTATGTATATCATTTTAGCTTTTAATTTCCAAAATCTTCATTACACACTTGCATTAAAGATCTACACCAACTCTCTTCATTGTCAAATCCTTGTTTTAGAGTTCATCTATTGTATTCCTATACTTGCTTTTTGTGAGATACACATTAAGGAATATATTTACTTCTTCAAGAGTGATATTTATAGTGAGAATTGATTGGGTTTTATTGTAGGTTAAGAAGAGAAACCTTTTTGTGAAAGAATTGTGTAGCTCTTTTGAACCACTCTCTTTAAATTTGCAGGTTATATGAAGGAAATCCTTAAGTTAAGGTAAAAAACTATGTGCTAAGCAGTTTAATCAAATCTCTAGAAAATTATTATGCAAATTATTCTTCTTTTCTCTCATTTTATTTAAATTTGATGGGTGCAAAAAGGAAAAAAATTTACAGCTCCAATTCACACCTCTTGGAGTACACTGAGCCACTCTTTGGCTAGGAAGGAATGTGAATCTGTTTCAAAATAAAACTGTACAAGAAGATAAAGTATTTGAACTGACATTGATTCGTTCTTACTATTGGGTAAAAGGAAAAGCAGGCCTGGAGGACATCTACTTGTGAGAATGGATTTGTAATCCACTGGCTTGATTGCCAAATAGGTGAAAAGATTGCAGGGACATATTAGTAAATTTGTAATCCATGGTTCTCATTGACAATATATTTGGGTTGAAGAAAATAGAGGAAAGGGGAGGAGAGGGAAGAGGAGGGAAAGAATTTCCTTTCCTTGAAGAATATTATGAACTAAAATGATTATGAATGTTTCACCTTCATCATCTTCTATCTTCTTTCTCGTACATCTACACACTGCTCCACTTTCTTATGCAATTACAATAGTGGTTATGTCTTATCATGTAACTTCTAATTTAGTCATTTAGGAGTGATTAAAGTCATACAACTCCTCATTTAGTAGATGATTAATCCATCTAACTCTTAATTACGGCCACTAGCCTATATACAGGACTTGTAATTTGCATAAAATTGATATAAAAGAAAGAAGAATAATACACTTCATACTCTCTGTCTCCCCTTATATCTCTCTAATTCATACTTTCTTTATTTTCAACACAACATGTTTTGACAATTATACATATGTACAACTCTAGAAAAAATAATGGTGAAACACCAACGTAAACAACCATTAAAAAAAAAAAAACTGCATTTTGTCCATGTTCATCGCGTCTATAACATATTTTAATTAATACATAAAAAACCACAAGACGGCAATCTAGCATGCAGACTTTTTTGTCCATTTATGTCAAGTAATGAGAAAATACCTGATCATCTTTCTCGTGTAAAATTATTTACGATTTTATTATTATATAAATAAACAGAACATGTTCAAATACCTCAAAAGTCTTCAACAAAGGAAGTTGTTTTATTAAGACGTCATGAATCACAAGTTAGAAGGGAATTGCATTTTACATAAGATGAGGCCTAGAAATTTTTCTTCACCATCTGGAAAACATTGTCCTCTACTTTTTCTGCTGAGATTTGAGCTCCTTCACCCTCTCTTCAGTGGCCTTCAATGCCTTCCCATATTTGGTTATTAACTGCATTCGACAGTAATTTCAGGCTTTAATTTCATGACAAAGAAAAATAAAAACTTTAAATACTATAGCACAAATAGATTTATATCAAAGAAAGAGGTGACACAATCTCCTGTCAGACAATATTCTTGTGACACTTTTCTATATGAGCAGAAGGCACCTCTTCAAATAAAGATACAACTGCATAGAATTGATCGCAACAAAATCTAATGGCCATAAAAACCCATTTCCATACAAAAATACAAAAATATAGCAATTAACAGGATTTACAGAAAATGCAGTTTGTAGAGAAATGGTCCTTAGACTCACCTCATCAATCTCATCAGGTGATATTATCAGAGGTGGAGACATCATTATGTTGTCCCCAGCAACACGTACTAACATCCCATGCTTCGCACATTGTTCTCCAAAATATGTACCTATTCCTGTGTGCGACAGTTATCAAGATCTTTTAGGAAAGAAAAATGATCATTTCCGTCTGAATTACTTAGGAAATTGGAACGTAATATGGAAGCATGTAATGCACTCCTCCCCTCAACCCAGCAAAAGAAAGAAAGCGCTGCCATATATAGCATAATTATGCCTTTTTATTTATTTATTTATTTTCACAAAGACTAAACAGCAAGAGAGTAGAGGGACTTGCCCCATTCAGGAGGAAATGAATCATTGGGGGACTTCTTGTCTGTAAATTCTGTACCAAGAATCATGCCAGTTCCTCGTATCTGCAGAAGCAGGAAGCAATTCAATGTAATTTCTCAAAATCAGATGTATGAATATGCATATATAATTCAGTATCTACCTCTCCAATGATGGGACTGTCAGAAAAGGCTTTTAAACCATCTTGAAATTTTGGGGAAATACTCTTCACATGCTCAACAATATTTCTTTCTCTGCAAGGATGGAAAAGAAAACTAGGGTTGAATATTACCTAGAAAACTAGAACCAGAGCTTGTCTAACATTGCAGATAAGGTAGTTTAATTTCTCATGCATGTTAGCTGTACGTGCAACAGCAGACAGGCTTATCTAGGATAAGACTATTGATCATTATGAAGCTTGATGGAACAAGCCAGGTCCACCATTTCTAGTCTCAAACACCCCCATACCACCCAATTCAAGATTTCCTCTGCAATTATAATAATCAGTTTCCCTCCAAATGATACTCCCCTCTGAATTCTTTTTTGTTCCATTAACTTCGAATAGCCACCTGCTTTATTTACTCTTTTTTAACTTATTTTCTAGCTAGCTAGAGGATTACAGAACAAACCTGTAGAGCTTGAGTGCTTCAATTGCAACAGCACAGGATACAGGGTGCCCAGAGTAGGTGAATCCATGAGAGAAGGAGCCTAACAAATGAGAAGGATTAGAGAAAACACAGAACTGTCCCCCCCTTTTCTTTTTAAAATTGTTATGCTCATACTAAGATGCTCATTAAGGAGTATCACCAACATACCAAGTTTATTGCTTTGAGAATAAATGACATCTGATATTTCAGGGCTCACCATTACAGCGCCGATGGGCATATATGCTGAAGAAAGGGCCTGGGAAACAGAATAATAGCATAGGCAGAAAGATGAATGGTGTTCCAAAATCCAAGATATCTCTGCAAATAAATATGTCCTACTTTACCTTTGCCATAGAGACAAGATCAGGTTTTATGTTATATTTTTCACATCCGAACATTGTTCCAAGCCTTCCAAATGCACAGATAACCTAAGAGATAACAGAAATTGCAGGATTTAGGACCAACAAGCACAGATCCTGCAGAAAGATTAGTCTTATGAACACAAAAAACAGTCACCTCATCTGCAATAAAAAGGATATCGTATTTCTTTACAACTGCTTGAATCTGCACCAAGTTTTAGCTTTGTGTTAGTGGAGAGTCACTTCAGAGAAAGCGAGAAGAGTTCATACAATATTGCACTTTAGCACAAAAGAATTTTAGAATAACAAGGGTATTTATTATATAAAAAATGAAAAAACAAAAGAGCCATAAAAAATAACCTTAACTTTGGTTATTGAGCAGGCCAATTCATGCAGCATTCTATTTATATAAATAGCACAAAATGGTGTACATATATATATGGAAAAAGTGTTTTGCAGATCATCATCCTAAATTTTTTTTGGAGGACATGTGTAAAACCTTATCTTCTAATTACTATTTTTAAAAACCAACTGTTGGATTAAAAGTTCTATTCATATAGATCATGCATAGCTATTTTCAAATTGTTCTAATAGGCCTAACCACTTTGTTGATTATAAGGAATTTAACATCATTAAATATATGCCAGTAAATAGAGTTTCTTTGATTAAAGGATTATAAGTGTTAGATCAATATGAAAATTGATATGCATGGTTTACATAAGTAGAACTTTCAATTCAATGGCTAGTTTTTGAAAATATTAATTAGAGGGCAGGTTTTTAAATAAGTCCTACAAAAAAAGCTTTGGGAGGACAACTTGCCCTGCATCATCCTCTATATATAAACACATGCTTATAATTTATATAGAAACTGTTACACACACACATGCTTATAATTTATATAGAAACTGTTACACATACCTATAATTTTCAATACAGTTAATATTTAGGAAAACACCAATGGATTAATTGTTTTATTCATGTAGATCATGTAAAGCCTAATTTCTTGAGATTAAATATATTTTAACAATTTCATTAATTACATAAAATTTTATGCCATTAAAGATATGTCAGAAAATATAATTCCTTCAGTCAAAGGGTTATAGATATTAGATAACTTAAAATTTGACATGTGTGATCTAATAAAACAGAAGAATCAATCCAGGACATTTTTTTTTTTCTCTTGGATATTTTGGCCATATCTAACTGTTCATTTTCCAAAATATTAATTATATTGGAATTATAAGCATGTGTATATATGATTGTGTGTTACAAATCACACATAAATTCTCAACTGATGATTTCCAAAGCTAACAATTTGAATGAATATAGCACCACATTTTGAAACCATTAGATTTGAGAACAAATGGCTGATAATTTATATGACTTATGAATATATGTAGGGAAAAAAGTTCATCGGCCAAACTTGGAAAAAATTAGAGAGAAAAACACTTTAAAATTACAAATTTATATTAAAAATACTAGAATAACCTATTTTTAAAGTAGGAATGGATTGTTTTGATCTTTTCCCGTGATGCTTTATTCTTTTTTCTTTTTTTTTAATGGCCAGGAACATAATACATGGTGCTTTATTCAAACCAGTTTTAGGGTGTTCTTTCGCCTAATTTTTTGCAAGTTCGTATGATAAACACTAATCTCATAATATATATATGAGGGATACATTTACACACAAGTCTTGCACATTACACTTAAAATCTTGACCATTCATCTCTCCACTTTCAATGGTTGAGATTTTGTGTAATTGTGGTTTGTAAGACTTGTGTGTAAGTGGATTCCTACTCTCTCTCTCTATATATATCTATATCATGATCACCAATTTCAAGATCTAATTGTGTTAACCATTCAGGATGCTGAGTAACTAGGTCATCTATGGCTAACTCGAATTGGGTGGATTCAATCAATGTTTCAAAAAATGCTAGGATTTGGCCAGGCTACCTGGTGTGCAAGCTTATCATGCCTACACAAGCCTAATCACGCCTAGGCATTTTCCTTATTAAAAAAATGCCAGAAACTTGGAAATAAAATAGAACAAATAAAAAAGAATCAGAAAAATAACCAAAAAAAAAGAAAAAAAAAAGTTTAATAGCATGTATTAGCAAAAAAATCATCTATATACAAAGAAATTTCAATAATTTATTAGCATATTACTGTAAGTTGTCTAATTTTCTGTGATTTTTCTTTTAAAATACAGCATAGTTTCACTTTAAAATGCCTAATTCTCCCAACACCTATCCATGCCTAGGCCAGCTTAATTGCACCAAACCATGCCTTAATCATGCCTAATCAACCTGGGCACATACAAACACAAAATAACACTGCCTATGCAAAGTGCTCAGCCACTGTATAGCGCCTAGGCACTCTTTTGAATTGTTGAGTTCAATCTAATAGCATCACAAACTAGTTGAGCTACACTGTACACAAAGTTTTACATCTATACCACAATCAAGTTGTATTAACTATTTGTGAGGCAAGGTCAAGAGGTCACTTTATGGCATTACCATTTACTCTCAACTCTACAACTTGAGTCAACCTAGCCTGAATTCAAAATCAGTTGAGCTCCACCATGCAAATCCTTTTTCTCCATTTATCCCAACAACAAGAAGTACATTTTTGCTTAAAGATATAGAAAAACAACCATTGTAATTCAACAAAAAAATAATAATAATAATAATGCAGAAAAATTATATACATAGCAGAATAGTTTCAAGCAGTGAAGAAAGCTATCAAGTTTAAATTTTATTTACATTTAATGTTCAAGCAAATGCAAAATATAAACCAAGTAGAAACATCATTGTTGATCTACTGCACAATCATTATGTTTCCAATTTTTGGAGGTCAGGGATGGCTCATTGTTGAGGATGAATAGAAAAATTACAAACATATTCAAAGGCATCAAAATGTTTGTTACTACTGTAAACAAAGAGAAACAACTCCAATCGCTAGTATTTTTCTATCATGAATCTATCTTCAGAATTAGGCATTAAAGTCTTACCTTGTCGAAATAAGTTGCTGGAGGAGGTATCACGCCCCCTGCCCCCATGACAGGCTCAGCAATAAATGCAGCAATCTGGAAATGAAGAACCAGAACAGGTCAGTGGCACGAATGCCCCTTGAATACTAAAATCTGTTGCAACTTGAAATATGTTTGACATAAGTACCGTTTCTGGACCCTCTTTAAGGATAAGATCCTCCAAATTCTTGGCTAATCTGGTTGAAAACTCCTCCTCTGTCTCGCCTGAAACATGACAGATTTATTTATCATTTAAATCTTCAAAATGACATCCATAAAAGACAATGGTGAAAAGAAAACCTGAAAGATGATAGCGCCAGTAATGTGGACAGTCAGTATGCAAGACAAATGGAGCAGGAAGATCGAATTTTTGATGTAGAGCTGGGAGGCTGCAAGGGTAGTTTTAGGTATAAAGAAGGAAGATTCAAAAGCTACACATGCAAATTTTGAAATATAAAAATCAAAGATTTAACATACCCAGAAAGACTAGCTGATATCAAAGTTGAACCATGATATCTGTAAAGTAAGATAAATTGGAAGATAGATGGTAAGCACAAAAGAAACAAATCAAAGAGAAAGGGCAGAGAAACAACAATGTAAACTTTACGATTTTGCTCGAGCAATAAATTTCTTCTTATTTGGTCTTCCAAGCGCATTATTATAATACCAAACCAGCTTAACCTACAAACAGAAAATTTGAGGGAAACAATTGAAATAATGAAATCATTACCTTCACTACTCAGCTCGTCATCGAATATTTATAGCAATTGCAATGCTTTTCTTAATATTATCATACAATAGGCAAACCTGAGTATCATTGGCTTCAGATCCACTATTTGTAAAGAAGACTTTTCCCATTTTGGATGCAGTAAAGGTTCCTAGAAGGTCCTTTGCCAGATCCTGAAAGATCAAAATTTTTAACTGCATTCACAGAAAATACCTCAAAATATACTTTGCAATAACAAACGCAGCAACTGTGGCTATCCTAGAAAGGTATAAGCTAAAAGTATCATTTACACAAGACTTATGTTTAATTTAATGAGGCAATGACACAAAGGAAATATAGCAATTGCTGATTGAAGTAAAACTGTTATTCATTAAAACATGGAAATCAATCAAAACAACTAAATATACCAATGATGGTTTAGTAGTACGATTCCAAAAGGAATGATAAAATGGCAATTTATTTAATTGAGCAGTAGCGGCAGCCACAAGTCTAGGTTCATTTCCTCCTGCAAAAAAATAATATTGCATTAAAAACTACATGCAAATCATTTCTCTTTGAAATAGATACTTGTACTGCATGGACAGCCTATATGTGTTGCAACGCAGAAAGGAGAAATGCAACAGTAATAAAATAGAACATGGCAACACAGATGAAGTATACCAAGTTAAGCGTAACTGTCTTGCAAATCACATATAATCAGAGCATTTCATGTTATTGAAGAACACAGGTGCAAAACACTCATAGCAGTGGGAAGCATGCATATACTCAATATTTTGAGTCATGCCCAATACATTCCATACATATTTATTTGATCTTCCCACCATGAGTTGTAGCCAAAAGTAAGTCATTGCTCCCATGCTAAAAGCAGCCAAGAAATAGAGTTGCTTGCTGATCTATTTTATTGTTGACAAACTCACTTTGACCATTTTCAAATGAGATTAGCTGTATGACATGGAGAGAGTATTACAATGATTCTACAAACCATATTTATTATTGATAGCATAGTAGGCATCACCACGATCTCATCAAAGAGAATAAAATGAGATTAATTACCACAGGGAAAAGAAGAAGAAGAAGAAGAAGAAGAACAAGAAGAAAAAGAAATTCAACAGAAAAGGAGATGTAGATACAAGGCAACAACATTTAAAAGTACTTAAATGACAAAAAAAAAAAAAAAAGTGTCAGCAATTGTACAGGTTTCTGGCACTTTTTAAAAGTCATTGAACTCAGTTCTGTTTACTAAATTGAAACAACAGCTTATAGAAGAAGTGAAAGTAAACATGGTGATGATGAACATGGAAACATTTATGGATGATATTTAATGAGAAAGGGAAAAAACGGATCGGAGCCACATGGAATGATTTTGAAACTCATGCAATTATAGTTACCCAAGGCTGTACACCATAGACCTGCAAGAGCATCTAGATACTTCTTTCCATTTATGTCATAAACATAGCAACCCTGATGAAGTATAAAACTATAGTTAGTTACATGAAGTTAAAAAGCAGCTTTATAAATGGTAAACATGAAACTTATGTATACTGAATGCAGAAAAGTTAAAAGAATAACATTTGAGAAAGATACCTCAGACTTTTCAATTACAAGAGGATTCATATCAGTACTCTGCCACCCAGCTGTGAATGGAGCCAGCATATCATGCCCTTTAAATCTGAGATAATTGGAGATTGATTACAATCTACAGCACATATTGATTTTTAAGTAGATAAACCATCAACCAACATAAAGGAGACAACAAGATATATTAAAACAATTTACTTGTGTATTATGTTATCACTAATATGAACTAAAGCAATCACAAAAGAGACACGTGATCAGTCAGATTCAACACAAAAATGGGTCCTGTTACATGGATACAAAAAAATTAAAGGGAAATACAGACAACCAACATACCCGTTATCAGAATCCTCCTTTTGCAATGAGGCCTCTGTGCTGTATAAACTGGACTGTAAGTTGCAGGGCTGCCCGAAAAAAATTCTGGCTGCAGCAGCATGCTTTATATTGGAACCATACTACAAATAAGAACAGAGCAAACAAGTTTTAAGATGGGAATAAATGGATAGCCATTGATGAAATTTTGACAATCGAAAATCCCCACGGATTATGTTTTCTGTGACGAGATAACAACAATTTGCTAATTTTTCAGGTTAAAAGGCCAAAAGAAAAGACACAAGAACATAATTATCAGTATTTCTCCATCTCTTCTCTAAATTAAAGTACTAAACTGAAATAAAAATAATACTTCTGAGAACTCCCTCCAGTGCAAAAGATTTCTGTAAATAATTCTTAGCCAATAAATTCAGCCACTATTGGAACAATGGAAAAAAAAAAAAACAATAATAGATCCAAAACGGAAAATACATCCTGTAATGGAATAAGTTTCTTTCCTTTCTTAGTTGGATTGTCTCTATAGAAATCAAAAACGTTACCTAATCTATTAGCCAAATTATCCTCAGCAATCTAACCAGCCGGTAAGTATTGGTTTTAAAGTGAACTAAGAAAAGTAGATCCAAAAGAAAACAATGAAAAGATTCATTAGGCTTAGAAAATCTGGAGGAAATCACACAAAACAAATTCAGAAGCACCATGGAGTCTGAAAATCTGACTTTCAGTAAAAACTCTAAGAAGAAAAATAAGGTGGATCCCGGTGATGATTAACATGCTGCTATAAGGATCCCCTTTCGAGTTAAAGAGGATGATATTGAAAATGGAAATGAAAACCTGTGAGTTGAGAACTGATCGGAGGAGGTGGTTGATCGCCATGGAGATAGCCTGCAACTGAGGAACATGCGCAAACAGTGCGATGCAGAAGAGAGAGTGAGAGAAATTGGTTTAGCCGCTCACCTTTTGCCATTTTATTGGCGATTGATTTGACTAATTGAATTATTAATTAATTGGAATCATTGCATGTGGACAATTCTCAGCCAAAGCCAATTTGGAGTGTACAACCTCGTTTTAGATTAGGAGGGTGTTTGGAAAACCTTAAAATCCACGCCCTTAATTTTTTTTTTTTTTTTTACAAATTTGAAAGAAAAATTTTTTTTCTATGAATTTAAATTCATTTTAAAAACTAATTTTCAAGTTTTTTTTTTGAAGGAAAGCAAGTAGCATTTTAAACATTTTCAAACACCTTCTATCTATTTTTTTAGTGCACGCTTAAGTAATTAAGTGGCACCATTAAAAATTATATTTAGGAAAATTTGTTTTAATTATTATTTATTTATTATATAAAATTATTTGATTAAATTTTATCTAAAAATTAAAATAAAATACTTAAATCGGGAAAAAAATACTTATTATAATTAATTAGTCATCCTGTAAAAATATTCTAAGTATGTTTTTTTTTATGGAGTCTAAATATATTCTCATTTTCTTAATAGGGTGGCCCTAATGATTTTGTTCATTGTCCATTAAATAAAGATATTGTATTTTATTGAAACCTATTATTCCCAACGTTTAAAAGAAATTTTATTGGTATTAAACCCCACATTGAGGGTTACTAATATAAAATTGAGCTGAGTATATCAAAAAATTCTTTTAGTGTTTATTTTTATATTTATAAAAATTAAATTAAAAATTTTATTTTAAAAAAGTTGAATTTTTTTCTTTATAAGCTAATAAATCACTAGTATTAATATTTAAAAGAAATTTTAAAATAACAAAGTATTTAATAAAGAGATATTCGATGTTAACAGGAAGGTTGATGGTGTCATAACGTTCTGACAGAAGGATAATGGTTGAATTTTTCTCTAAAGTTGGAGGATCATAATTAATTTCTTTTAGCTAAAAGGATCATAATAATTGCTTTTGTAAAGTTTAAGAATTTATAGCAGAAAGGCTTTTTTTATATATATATAATACTAATATTTAGCCACATACTTTAGAATTTAAAAAGTTGTTTTTGTAAATTCAAGCTTGTATTAATTATTAAAATTTTAAAATATAAAATTAAAATTTAGTGTAACACTTACATTAATATAAGATTATCTTAGCACTTTTATAAATCTACAAAGTAACCATAAAAACTATTGTATAAATAATAAACATTTTAGGGGTGTTTGGCAAAGAATGCTTTTTAACATTTAAAATACTTATAAACATGTTTTGAATAAAGCATTTCACATTTACTATTTCAAAACATATTTTTATTTATAATTTAGGAGTCTCTCGGGTAATGTACACATACTTTAATACCAATTTTTTCTCAAAATTTTTTTTAAAAAATATCCCTACATCAACTAGTTACATTCACAAAAATTAATTTTTTTATATTATTCTCAAAATTTGAGCCATAAACTTAAACTATAAAAATACATTTATTTCTTAATGGATACAATCTTTTAGTCGTGTTTGGTTAATGGAGGAAACTTTATCTCTTACTTTGCTCCTACTTAGATAGTTGGATTCTTTATAGATGGTTTGGTATTTTTATATATTAATATTATAATAAAATAAAGATAGAGTTAGTATTTTAAACAAATATTTTTCATAAAGTAATTCCCAATAAATAAATTTTTCTTTCCATCTATTTTCAAAATGGGATAACAGGTTGTCTTGAAAAATACTTTTTTATTTCAAAATGAAAAAGTATTCCTTTTATTTTTTTACTGAGAAACATACTTAACTATGTACTTTTACCCAACTTTCCTTAACATCAATTTCTTTCTCAATAAAAAAATAACAATTTTAATAAAATTTCATTACAACACCTATAAACTTTTTCTTTTTTTTTGGGTACATTAGAAGTTAACAAAAGCTTAGTTTCTGGAGAACATAGTCCTTGTACAGTCGTTTTGCAAAATCAGACTAATACCCATTGGGGGAGTTGGAAAAAAAGTAGTACCCAACTCAAGGTTATGCACAACGGAGGCCATATAGTCTACAGTTGCATTACCTTCCCTGAGAGTGTGATGTACCGAGCAAGAAGTGAAAGAGTCAAGTAAGAAGAAGATGTCAGATAGAAGCATCGAAGCCGCACCAGTTGACACCTTCCGAGCCTGAATAAGTTGAATTGCCAGCAAGGAATCCATTTCCAGTATTAATTGTTGCACTCCAAGGGAAACTGCAAGTTTAACACCTTCTTTACATCCCCATAGTTTAGCCAAAAAGCTTGTGGCAATGCCCACATTTATAACAAACCCATGATGCCAGCACCCACAATGATCGTGAAGCAGTCCCCCTGTAGTTGTCTTACCTGAGCTATGATCATGTGATCCATCTATATTAAGTTTAAGGAAGTGCTGGGGTGGAGGGGTCCAATTGACCCATCTGGGGGTTTTTAAGGTGAGGGTTGCTTTAGCCTCAAAAGCAAGCTTTGTTTCTAAGGCCAATTTGCTTGCTTGTTGAGTGATAATCAGCGGTCGGATCCTTTGCGCCTCAAATATTAGCTTATTCCTGCTTTTCCATACATACTAGATAGTTGCAAGAAAGATGCTCGGCCATGTGTCTGAAGCACGAGGTCTCCTCCTTGATGTGAACGAATTTTTTCTCAGCCAAGGGTCGAGATCCAACTGGAAGAAGTCTTCAGGAAGAAAGTTAGTGGCATCCCAAATGAGTCGTGAGTAGTAGCAATCCCACAAAAGATGTAATGGGGTTTTAGGTGATTGCTCGCAACGAGGGCAAACTAGAGTAAGCGTTATATGTCTGTCGAAGCGGATTGAATTTGTGAGGATTCTTCCTCTTTTCAATAACCAAACAAATAGCTTAACTCACTCTGGACAACATAATTGCCATATCCATGTCCATTCCCCAGCTTTGGGGGTGTTAGCTAGACGCAATTATAAAAGGAGTTGGAAGGCAGATTTAATAGAGAAGTCACCATGGGATGAATTGTGCTAGTACATGGTATCTTCTAAGTGACTTGTGATAGGTAAAGGGATAGCTGCAATAACATGTAATAAATTGTCTGGGAGAAGTCTTGTTAGTTGAGCTAAATTCCATTCAGAATTGTGAATGATGGCAGCCACTAGTAAGTCAATGAGATGGCGTGGAATTCGAGTTAATGCAAAGTCAAGAAGCTTTGAGTTACTTGCCCAAACATAGTGCCATAACTGAATTTGCACACCTGAACCGACTCGCCACCGTATTCCAAGATGCAGCACATCCCTACATTTCAGAATGCTTCTCCAAGTGGCAGAGAAGGAAGGGGTGGGGTTGCAGCTTAAAAAGCTATCCGAACGGAGGTATTTATAAGTGAAAGCCTGACACCATGGTTTGTTGCTTCTAGAAAGCATGTGCCAACCCAATTTCGCAATCAAAGCTCTATTACAATCCCTTGCAGTCCTCAACCCCAGACCTGCATATTTCTTGGGCAAGCAAACATTATTCCAGTTAACAAGGTGTGGTTTGTTGGAGTGCATATCTGTACCCCAAAGGAACTTGCGATTTAAAGTATCAATTTCTTAGCAGATGTTGCTGGGTAAGAGAACCGTTTGCATGGTATAAGTTGGGATCGAAGAGGTTACAAATTGGACCAAAGTTATTCTACCAGCCAAACTCAAAAGATTTTGTTTCCATCCTGCAAGCTTAAGCTTCATTTTTTCTAAAATGTATTTATAGGTACTAGATTTGGACCTGCCATGAAGGATTGGAACCCCTAGGTAGATCCCTAAATCATTTGTGAGAGGGATGCCACAAGTTGTGCTATAAGAGTTTGCTAAATGTCTTTGAACATTTGGAGAAACAAATAATTTTGATTTACTTAGATTTAATTCAAGCGCCAAGCATCTAGCAAATTTTGAAAGGCAATCCATAATAGTCTCAATTTGGGAAGGTGAGGCTATACCAAATAACATGAGGTCATTTGCAAAGAACAAATGAGAGAAGGCCAGTCTTCCTCGTGAAATCTTAAAAGGTTTCCACTAATGTTGCTGTAGTCTACTCAAAATCATATATGAGAGTTTCTCCAAGACCATGATAAAAAGGTAGGGTGACAAAGGATCACCTTGGCGCAACCTTCTTTGTGGTTGGAAATAAGGGGGCTTTTTTCCATTCCAGATGATTGAAAGCTGCAAAGAGGTGACCAAGAACATGATTAACCAAATTAGAGGTTCCAGTAGATTGAAATCAACAAGCACTCCATTGAGGAAACCCCAATCCACACTGTCAAAAGCTTTGTGGAGGTCGATTTTGAAAGCAAAGGCCCTTTCTTTCCTTTTAGCCTTCACAGTGAATGCATTGCCTCTTGGACTAGGATAATATTATCTATTGTACTTATACCAGACAGAAAGTTGCTCTACTAAGGTCCAATGAGGTTTTGTAGATAGGGATGCAATCTATTAACAATCACTTTAGCAAGGATTTTATAGGCAACATTGAGCAAGCAAATGGGTCTGAATTTTTGAATAGCATCTGGGCTTTCCCCTTTAGGAATAAGGGTAATATGTGCATGAAGAATGTTTGGCTCAAAAGAACTGTCAATAAGAGACTTGTTGACAAAAGAATGGAGTGTGCCCGAGACAACTTCCTAATGCTTCTAATCAAAGACTGGTTATATACCATCTGGACCAAGGCTTTTTAGACCTTTCATTGAAAAGAGAGCTGTTTTGACTTCTTCTATGGATACAAGAAGCATTAGAGATGTGCTAGCTGCATTTGACAATCTAGGTTGGAAGCAAGAATAATCCCTAGATATGGTGCATGTTTCTTTTTGAGAGAACAAGTTAGTAAAGAAATCGTGGACATGGGCTTTTAACATTGTAGGGTCTGTTACCCAAGAGTCATTAACCTTCAATGCTATGATTCGATTCCTTGCTCTTCGGATAACGGTTGAGGCATGATAGAATTTAGTATTTCTATCACCTAAAGTGATCCATTCCATCCGAGATTTCTGGCACCAAAACAATTCTTCAACATGTAGCACTCTGTGATACTCCTCTAATAAATCAACTTCTAGACTCTGCAAGAAGTGTGAGTGCTGGTAATTGGGTGAGTTTTGGATGCCTGCCAGGCATGCGTTTAAAAGCCTTTTACGACGAAATATGTTCCCAAAAAACTGTTTGATTCCAGTTAAAGCATGCTGTTTAAACTGCATTAATAGCTGAAGAGAGGGAATGATCATGTGTTGCCCATGCATTGTTGAATATGTCTTTAAAACCCACATGAGTCAACCAAGCTACTTCAAACCTAATTGGCTTGCCTATTCTTTGAATCTGATATGGGGGAGCTATGTTCAACATGATCGGGTGATGATCACTACATAACCTTGGCAAATTAATGAGTTTTGCATTTGGAAATTCTGCCAAGTTAGAGAGATTAAGGAGAGCTCTATCAAGCCTCTCTCGCAAAGAAACTCTCCCATTTATTTTACGTACCCAAGTGAATTTGCAACCTATTGAGTCTTTGGACAGTAGATTGTAGGCTTCGAGATGGTCCTAAAAACGCTGGGCACTAGAGAATCTATTTACAACTCTTGGGGATGCCTCATCAACATTAGCAATGTCATTAAAATCCCCCATGACAATCTAGCTCCCTGTAATGTTCATGGCTATGTTTTGTAAGAAATACCAAAATTCCCTTTTCATGGCACTATGTGGCTGAACATAGGCAAATGTGATGCTAAAGGATATTCTCTATTTTTGAACAGAACAATGAATGACTTAAGAAGTTGAGACAAGCACCTCCAAATCAAGTAAAGAGGATTTCCAAAATAACCATAACTCACCTACTCTGCCAAGAGAATGGACTCTATGTTGCTTATCAAATCCAAATCTTAGCATGAATTGGAGATCTGAAGAACCTTCCTTGGCTTTAGTTTATAAGAAACAAATAATGTCTGGTTGCTACAACTTAAGCAATTCTTTGCATTCTCTCCAAAAAGGAGCATGTTGAACACCTCAATTGTTCCATGTCTCTATCTTCATTGAGAATGAGGTGTGGGGGTTGGCTGTGCGTGGCCAACGACCTGGGGAAGATGTGTCTTAACCATAATTGATGGGTCATCCAATGCAAGCACTTGTCTCTGGTTTTGATTGGTGGTGGTAGGTAGAGATGATGGGCATGAGGGAGCATTGTGATCAGTAACAAGTTTTACCGCACTTAGTTTAATAGCCATACTCTGCCCAGGTTCAATGGTTGTGTTCTGGGGTAACTAAGGAGAGGATTCTTGTGTTTCTTAAGGATCAATAGGGGTTGGTATGGTTTGGGCATAGGAGGCTTAGTTTCTTTAGGGACTGGATCCCTAGTTTTGGTTTTTCTCGTGTTGGGTTTTGGCTTAATAAAGGTTGTTGAGAAGGCAAGAGGCGGGCCAATGGGGGTAAAATCCATGGGCATTGTGGGACCAACAAAATCCTTACTTTTGGATGAGTTTCCCGCCATCTCAGGCTCATTGACTTCCTTTGAATTTATTAGCTCAGCATCTACCTCCATAATCTCTGCCATCATTGCAAAGCGATTGTTCTTTGATTCTAGAGAATTGAAATTACCAACAATCTTGGAGGCTGAAGGTTGTGCTTGAGTTTTTGAGATGTGGTTTTGATAACTCCGAATTTCCAAGAGGTTAATGGGAGTATCACTGGTTGCTTGCTCAACCGAATGGCGGGGCGGTTGTCGCTGTTTTGGCTGACACTATTGAACCATCCATGGCCCAAAAACCATATTATTGTCTTTTGAGTTAGGTTTCAAAGTCTGTGTTAACTCAATCATAGCTTTTGCACAAGGGTTGTTTATAGAAGGGGATTGTCTTGGGTTCTTATACTGACAGTGTTCCTCTGTGTGACCAAATTCCCCACAAGAAAAGCAAATTTTGTGTAAGCCTTCAAATTCAATCTGGATCAGGGATTGAGGTAAACACTTTAAATCAAGATCCACAAATGAGGGGAGCGATTGGCTGAGATCAACCTCCACGCAAACTCTTGCAAATTTCCCTTTAATGGCAAGGAGAGTGGCTGGTCGACTTTGATTGGATTGCCAATTTTGCTGCCTAGATATAAACAGATTGCTTCATAAAAGCACACAGTAGGAACCCCATGTAGCTTAACCCATATTGCAGTTTTGGAAGCTTTGGCTCTTGCGGGGTGAAATCTAGGTTCCCAAGGCTGGACTGCCAAATAGTGACCAAACATTTGGTATGGCCCTCCGGTTAAACCCATGGAACAGTCTTGAGAGGAGAAAATTTTGACAATATAATAGCCAAGACCTACATCTATGATTTCAAATCATGCTCTAATCTCCATTCTTTCAATAGTCGTGAGTGTAAAGCATGGAAGTTGACTAATTTCCCAAGGAGTTTGATGATGACAGCATTTCTCCAAGGGGCACAGAGTCTTTCCCATATAGATTTAGGGATTCTAACTTTGGGGACCTTTGGTTAAGGAGGACTGGATCCATCTACTGCCATAGGGGATGGGGTTTCCAAATCAAGGTTTGCGGCCACCAATTCCTCATAAGTGACCAAAGGGGGCTCAATCGAAGCACTTCCCTGCACCAGTGTGTCTTTGAAGGATTTAGGAGGTAGATTTGAGGTAAGACTAGGATGGCTAACCGGTGGTTGTTGGGGGATTGAAGAAGGGCCGGTAGCAATTTGGATGATGGTTGGGATATTGGGGGGTGGCGGTGGAGGAGGAAGGTTAGGATCCATCGGCGGGGGTTCGGGAGGAGGTGTGGGAGACAGAGATATTCGAGAGAATTCCTTTTTCAACGTTGTTACCTATAAACTTTTATAAGTATGGTAATGTTTAACTTTTCATATAATATTTTTTTAATAAAAACTTTTTTAATGAAATTATCCTTATACAAAACAAGTCCTTAGAGTTTCCAAACTTATTTCTCAGTACTTTAAATGAAGCTAACTTATACCTCAAATATTTTTTAAACTTGTGAAAGAATACTTATTTATAAGTTAAAAAATACGGATTTAAATTTTTTAGGACGAATTGTTTGTTCTATAAATTTATTTGAATACTCTTAATGAAATATAATAAGAAATAATTTTAAAAAAAATATTTAAGTATATTTATAAAATAAATTATATTTTTAATATATAATACACCTGAAAAACACTTGTTCTTTTTTTTTTTTTTTAGATAAGCCTTATCAAATGCCTCACTTCTATCATCTTTGTTAAGTTTATTATATGTTACTCCCTTTCCATTGTTACTACTTTGACTCTATTGAATAAAATTAATCATGTGATTTCAAATTTAATTAATTTTATGAATCAAATTGTTAAACTTAAACACAGTATAAAATGAACTTTAAAGGATAACTTTATTAAGAAAATTTTGATTATAAGAATTTTTTTAACATGTACTTTTAAAGTATAAATTAAGAATATAATTAATTTATTTTTAACAATTAAATGTATTCAAAAATAAAAATTATCTTTTATTTTATCAATCATTCAATTAAAAGCATACTTGTGACATTAATACAAAAGTCAATATCAATTTTTATATTTATTTTATATAAATTAATTGTTAAAAATTTATTAGTTACACCAATGTTTTCAAAACCGGACCGGTCATTGAACCGTTTTCAGGTCCGGTTTTCGGTTTGACCGGTTCAACCGGTTGAA